GTGCGAGCTAGGCTCACCGCGACATCCACCACCTGGGTTCAGGCAATTCTCCTGCCTTAGCCTCCTGAATAGCTGGGATTACAGGCACATGCCACCATGCTCAGCTAATTTTTTGTATTTTAGATAGAGACGATGTTTCACCATGTTGACCAGGATGGTCTCTATCTCTTGACCTCGTGATCCACCCGACTCGGCCTCCCAAGGTGCTGGGATTACAGGCGTGAGCCACCACACCCAGCCCCACATTTCTTATTTCAATTCTTTAGGTCCGTGAATCAATTAGAAATGATTTGCCTTCATGAGTATTGGGAGGCCCGTTTTTAATGTTACTTTCCAGATAGACTTGAACCCTAATCTGTCTACAGTTTCTTATTTCTTCTGAAAAAAAAAAAAAAAACATAAAAGGGCTCCGTTATTTCTTTCACAAGGATCTGTGGACAGGCCTCTGTCTCATCCTCAATGGTCAGCTGAGGCATCTGGTAAAACCTCTCCTTCTGGTAAGGGAGCAAGAGTATTTAAAGAGTCTAAAACCATGCAGGAAGTGGGGAGAGGATTTTTTTTTATCCTCCTCATAGAGTACACAAGTCAGACTAAGCCTGTGTTGGTTATCTGGTCTTTAGCAGATCCAGAATCTGGTACAGCTGCCATGATGAACAACAGCTCAAGAGGCTCTTTCCCTACCAGGGTGATGGATGAAGGCTAGGTAATCGTACGCATTTTGAATAGTTATTTTGAGAACATTTAACTTTTCCTACAACTCTCTCTTTGCGTCATCTCCTATTTGTGTGTTCTATCTGTACTGTCTCATTTATTTTTCTAAAAAAGCAAACTGTTCTCCAAGAGCCTGAAGTCCCATCAGTTTCCAGCATTACATCTTCCGCTGAACATCCAGTAGCAGTAAGTCCTTTGAAGTGTGGACTGAACTGGGCTATAAATTTCCTGGTGATATTGATCTTACTTTTGTCCTTGATTTGGGAGTGGTGCTGAAATCTGACTGATTTGTTGGCCTTTTCTCCTTTCTCCTGTTTGGATAGACATTTAACCTGTGTAGAGCATTTGCTGTAACTGTAATTAACTTAAACGAAAGTGAAAGTCCCCACTTTTCTGTATTCCAGTGTTCAATGCTCTTATGCAAAGTAAATTCATTGTAAATTGTATAATTCATTATTATACATTATTATAAATTGTTTAATTCATTATTATGTCTTTAATTGGACATGTGCTATTTAAGAATATCTGCAACTGTATTCCAGGCAAAACCTTTCTTGAATGATCTGAAATTACAGATTGATAACAGAAAAATGTTTGTTGGAAGCACAGTACCCAATAGTGGAAGTCTGTAATTACCCATTGAACCAGTTCTCAGCAGTGTCCCTAAGCAGAATTCACATAAGTGTATTCTCTTGTAACTTGTTTAGCTGTTAAAGCTGATAAGTCCTCTGATCATACCTCACCATGCTTCTCTATATTGAAATCAAAATACGTTTATTTTAATGATTGAGAGTTTCCAAGCCACTTTCCCTTAGGAAATTCTTAGTCAGGGTCTCATAATAGACTGTATTACTAGTGAATGAAGGTAAATAGAGTGTGCCTGTGTAATTTGTGTATATGACATTGTTTCTCTTGGAACCTACTTTGGAGTTCCAGCACATGACTCGAGGAATACACATCTCTTGAGAGGTCTTTTTATCCAAGGGCAACTTGGGTAAGACCCAAGACCCCTTTGAAGTAGAAGACTTCAAAGACAGTAGAGATTACTTTTTTAGAGAGGAGAAGTAGAGGTGGAAAGAACATGGCCTTGGAGTCAAACCTGGCACTGAATTCCAGCCCAGCTTCTTACATGCTGTGTGACTGTCA